AGTAAAGCCACCACTGAAAACCTAAACCCAGAGCCAGTACAGAGGGAGCCACCAGCACTGAGCAGTTTCTCCCTGAGGAGGGGAGGTGGGGCTGCCAGGGAGCAGCCATGAAAATCCCTCTAGAGAACCACCACTGTGTCCCCATGTGAGAGGTGGGAGACTGGGGAGCAGCCACAGCTTTGGCACAACTCACCTGAGCTGCTGAGGTTGGAGTCACCATCAGCCAGGTCTAGAGAATGACGTGAGAAGCTTGAGAGCAGGACAGGGTACAGCCATCCAAGGGACATCCATGGACTCTGCCAGGGTTCCACCACTTTGGAGATGGGAGCCCAGGCTATGGGCTGCTTTCCAGGAGATAGCCCAGGCACCAGCTGCTTCCCAGGGGTGTGTGTGTGCAGGTCCTGGTGGGTGGGTTTGGGCATCTTGGCCTCCAACGGCCACTGGTCACATAAGCACAGTCAACAGCAGAGAGCTTTTATAAACTATTTACATAAAGGGCAGGTGCAGGCTGTGTAGGGCATGGGTGAAATGCTTGCCCATATAAACTTCTTTCTCAAGGGAAGAGTAGGGGCAGCCATTTGCAAAGTGAGGTCTGCTAAGCTCCATCTAAGAGAAATACAATAATTCGAGCTGGGCAATGCAGACAGGATGCCAATTTTCTTTTTTTCATGGGTTAAAATGGAGCCAGTTGCAGCAAACAACGCTGTAGATTTATTCAGCTGCAGAACTGGCACACAGCAGGTGCCTTGCAGGGACAGAGAGAAGGAGCAGAGGAAAAATGAAAAAGGCTGATGAGTGTGAGCAGCCTGGGAGAAACCTCTGGAAGGTTTGGGCATGCAGGAGGCTGCACTCATGCTTTATGTCACTGCAGAACATTAAATGAGCACTTAAAAAGATAATTAGCACCTTTTCATTGGGCCAGAAATCAAAGGTGTAATTTACCAGAAGTCAGTGAACAATGTAAGAGATCTAATTTAATCACATTGTGTAGCATAGCCAGGGTGAGAAATCAGAAGCCCATCCTGGCTGAACAGCTGCACATACAGCAAATGTGCCCCCAACAGGACAGTGCCACCAGCAGCTGCAGGTGGTGAGGCCACGCAGGGTATTTGTGCTATTTGAATTCTACTGCATCATTTTAATTATTTCACAGTGAAAGCAGAGGCTATGCTATATATAGAAGAAAATGCTCTTGTCTAGAAGAGGCAGCAATTCGTAGCCAAGGTTGGTGTGACAGTTCAGGTGTTCTCTTCCACAGCCTCTACACAGGCTGACAAGATCAGCCACTCCAAAGCTCAGGAAGATGAGGAGGAAATGGAGGTTTTGTTTTAGCAGCATAAATGAAAGGTGATCTTTCAATATTCAGATTTCAGTTTAGATCTGGACTGCCCAGTCTTGCCTTAAGGCTTCCTTCTACTTTTGGTATCAAATGAAGTGTTCAAAAGATCAATAAAAGAAAAAAAACACTATTAAATTTTAAGTACCATATAAAGAAACTCAGCTTTAACTCAGTTATTTTTCTAGCCATAGCTACAGCACAAGGCATATCACCTTTATTGGGATTTCTTAAATAAAAATGTTAACTGTATGTGCTCACAGTTGTAAAATCAAGCTGTTAGCTGACTAACAAAGCTGCAGTACAGCAAATCATATTCAACATTACACCACTTAATGAGGATTAAACTTTGTCCCCTGAACACTACTGCCTTTCCCAGATTTCTGTCTTTTTTTTTCCCTTGTTTTTTTTTTTTTTCCCCTTGGTAAATCTTTATGTGTTTCCATGGCAGCATAGAAAACCTGGAAGTCCTAAGCATGGTGGCCAGAACTCTAGATTAAAATGGCTAATCACACTGGCCACCTTTTGATAAACACAGGCAGATCCCTGCCCTCATCCTTCCCAGGGGTTCACAGATGCGTCTGAAAAGGAGCTGAAAGGCAAGGCAGGGCTGTTTGTATCCATGTGCAGCTCCTCTGCCAGTGATCACAGTGAGGCCAGCAGAAGGTAACAAACCGAAAAGGGATGTGGCCTGCACTGAACATGTCAAGAGAAGAGTTTCTGCTGATTTAAATGATAGCCCTGACAGGAAGACCTGACCTCACTTTCTTAGAGATGTAACCTCAAAAGAACCCATGTGTGTAATAGCCATAACATAATGGGACTACACAAAACAAAATTGCAAATTCTCAGCTTCTATTTTATCTGTGATTTAGCTCCTGTGGAAGTGTAGGTGACTGAGAATAGCCCAGACAAACAGTAATCATTGTGATTCAAGAAAACTGACAAAGCAGTAATCAAAGTAGTAAGCTGGCAATCCCTAGGAAATGGGGGTTTCTTAAGGAAAATTCAAGCAAGAAAAGTGTTTGTCTTTACTGCAAAACATTCACTCAACTCAAATAATATATTACCCGGCTCCTAATTATTATGTCTAATTATAGATTAGCCTAAGCACATTGGCAAGGGAAATATGTTGTAAAATGTATGTTGAAATATTACTGTGCTATTGTTGAGTCAGCTCCTGGGACATGAGGCATTAAATATCAGAATCTCTGGCTGATTTCAGTGGTTTTATGTTGCCTAACCACACTGCCAAGATGTATTGTTGCAAACTTCTCCTTGCTGGTTAAATTTAGCTTCTCTGTTCTCCAGGTGCCATCCGATAACTCCTAGAGAACTCTCTTCCCCATTCTTGTACTTCTCCTCTACCAGGCATTTGTTTCCCCAGCTGGTCTTATTTATTTTATATATTTTTTTAAATCTATACTATAGATTATAGTATGTAAATGTATATATATAAACACTGATATTTTCAAGTTTCACTATAAAACTGCCTGTATTACTTCTTGCTCTGTACTGCAGCCTGGTATCACTGTCTTGCAACTCCTACTAGTCCTGTGTATGTTTTGTACTCTTTGTCAGTGCATGTGATGCACTGTCCCCTATATTGTAGATTATCACTGAACAATATCCTACAAACCACTTGAGAGACTTGGACCTTGAAGCTGAGTCGATGTTAAGTGAATTAGGATATTATGCCACAGGGAAAAGATATTTGGACATAAAGTGCAGAAAAGAAAGCCTGGAATGAAAGAACTATTTTTCACTACATCAGTCTCTGTGCTGGTAACAGGAGAAATTCTGACTTAGGCACCCACATAAAACATATAATGGCCTTCTTAAAAAAATTAAAAATCAGTAATTAAATGTTAAAATTAATTTTTCTATTATTTTATTAATAAAATGGGGGGAAAAGCCCCTAAATCATTGCATTTATTAATTTGTGACCTTCATTTTTTAAAGCAATGCCCTTAAAACTCCTCTGAAATTAGTAATCTCCGAGACAGTTTAAAGCAATTACACAAAAAAAAATTACTTAAAATAACCATTTTACAGTCATATGGTGACTTGCAATGCAATTCCTGTTTCTTTTTCTCTGAATTATGATCACATACTGCACTTGATGACTATACCAGAATGTACAATGGGCTGTACTCTCAGAAAATCCTTATACAGTGAAGGGTTGGGTAGGGATGAACCAGTAGGCCACAGATGTGATTGACATGACAAGTTCTTTAATATAAATCTTTTTGAGTAATTAACAGGCTGAATTTTTATCAAAAACCACAAACACACTTCCATATGGAAAAAAATACAAATGGAACAAACAAGCAGATTACAGTACTATTGATGTCCCCAGTCTTGGGACATACACAGAACAGAGGTTAAAACTATTATTAGAAATATAAGAAAACACCTTGATTTTGCTGTTTACGCAAACCACATAGATTTGTACAGTATGGCTACTGGTTTATGTGGAAGGAGAAAGGAAAATCTCAATTAAATTCAGGTTGTTTAGTCTGAATCCAGTGCAAAAGTCTGAGGGAGTGTGTTCTGTCCTTGGAAAGTCTGCTTTTATCTCTTTATGAAAACACGGGATCTCTCCATTATAAAGGACCCTGATGGTGTTCTCTCCTGCCTCAGCTTCATACTAAAATGTCTTGAAGTTCAAGTACTCTGTGATGGACTTTAATTGATTTCCAGTCAAGACTTCTTAAATCATGTTTCTGAAACATCCACTTATTATTGGCAGGCTCTTTCCCCCATTTTAACTAGTCTGTGGTTCTTCAGTTTTACAGAACAGGAAGCAAAATATATTTACATGCAAGAGTTACCTGAGGCAAAAGAAAGCAGAGGACAAAGCCAGTTGCAGTGGAGCCAGCACACTATGGCTGAGATCTCTGAAGTGCTGCAGCCAAAGAGGCCGGCAGGTGCCTCTAAATATAGACACAGATATTAAAATGTTAACAGTACAATACACAGAAAGCAAAGACAGGAAAATTACAAGTTTCAAAGAGTGCCATTCTCTTTTTCCCTTGTACATGCTGCAGCCACAGCAGTCTGGCCACAGGTCTGTTTGATATTTATAAAGTTCAATTCGGTCACACAGTACAGAAACACTGAAGACAAAAGCCCCCACACAAAACCTGTTCAAACGGTCTGCTGGGTGGTACTTAATGCTGATGAGGATTGCATGTAATGATGGCTTTGGGTCTTCTCCTGGGGACCTGGGTCAGACCTCTCCTTACATTAAAGAAGAATATTGTCCCCAAGTCCATGGTCTGTGAATTGGGCCCTTAGATGTCAGCGCAGTTAAAATTTTCAAAGGGAAAGGACTCTGGGGGGAAAAGCATTTATTAAACCTCTTTGGTTCTTCATTCTGATAAAGAACAAGTCTTCAATGTAATAAAAAAATAGTTCAATCTTTTAAAAATATATACCAGCACAATCTTACTTACTTAGAAGTTCAGCATATTAGCTGCTAAAATGAATTCCAGCAGCCCTCCGTACATTTGTCCAAAACTTCCAAAACTTACCTGCCCAAGCACCAAGTTGCACTGCATGCTGAGGAAATGTTATTATGCTGTTATATTTTCTAATCTGCCAGCAAAAGTTTGTAAACCTAGTTTCCAGAGCAAACCCCTGGACAGAGAATACTGTGTCCTGTTCAGAGAAAACCCCATATTGCCTTCTCTTTAACAGAGAAAATTTGGAAATGGGCATGGCTTACAGCAAACTTCTAAATCTGTGTAACTCTATTTTTCAGGAGAAGTCCAAGGTCACAGCACACGTCCAGCCGTGCCGGAGGGTCGGGGCTGGAGCCGTGAGGGAAGGCTCGGCCCGGCCCGACCGGGCAGCGCTGAGCCGTGAGGGAAGGCCCGGCCCGGCCCGGCCCGGCCCTCCCGGGCAGCGCTGAGCCGTGAGGGAAGGCTCGGCTCGGCCCGGCCCGGCCCGGCCCGACCGGGCAGCGCTGAGCCGTGAGGGAAGGCTCGGCTCGGCCCGGCCCTCCCGGGCAGCGCTGCGCGGCCCCTCCGCGTCCCGCAGCCAGTGCTGCGATGCGGGCTGTGAACGTGCCGCTCTGCACGGCTCCTGGAGAGCTGCAGGCTTAGCAGGGATGGGGGGGGAAAAGAAACTTCCATGCTGCAGCTGTGCAGGCAGGAGGAGGAAAGGAACTGCTAGGAATGATCATAAAGCGGGTAAGAATGAGGCTGTGGAGGTGGATGCTGCTATCAGAGAGCACGTAGCCCTAAGCAACTTTGGTTTGTGTGGGGCAGTTCATTTCTGTGAGGTTCTCCCTTGCAAACAGGTGAAGTTTTGTGCATTTAGGTATTTCAGAAGTGCTCCACATTAGCTTAAATCTAGCACTGACTCTGCAAGGAGTATAAAACTGACCTTGGTTTCTGATTGATGTCATTAATATTTTATCAGAACGTGGCCAAGCATCTCCTCACAGCCTCGCTAGCTCATTGCACCCCTACTCGCAGGGAGATGGATTTTTGAAAAGCAGGACCCTGCAGAGCAGAGACCATGGCTGCTGTAAGGACAGAGAGGGCAGCACACATGTAGGGAGTGTTCCAGAACACGTTCACTAAATCTCAGGGAAGCTCTGCTTCATGGCAAAGACACTCAGGACACCTGATTCCTGACTGGAGAATACATGGAAGAACATGAACTATCACAATATAAACAAGATTTATTCTCCAATAGTGTCTTAGAGGGAATTATGAAGCCATACTGCCCTCCCCTTGCCTAGAGAAAACCTTTTGATGCCAGGATAGATACTGATAAAACTGAGGGGCACTGCCTGCAGCGGGTAATGCACGTACTGTAGTCTCATGATTGTAACACACTTTGGAAGTCCTAGAAATGCTGGTCCAAAATAAACAGAAAATAAAGAAAATGAGAACAGGACCATCTCTGTTAAAGAGAAAGTAGAGCCTTTTCCCAAGCAGGAAATTATGTCCTTACATGAGCCCCATCCAGAATGAAACTGCAGAATGAAGGTCTTATTTTGCAGAATTTACTTTTTTTTTTTCTTTTCTTTTTCTTACACCATTCCAAATACACCAGATCTTTAAAAAGGCAACCTAAAACTTTCAAAATGTTCTTCCTCACTATCATTTCTCAACATTTCAACTAACCTAAAAAATAACAGTACTTCAGTGAAAGCTGTATCATGTGATTTTTTTTTTTTTTCTGATTGAATATTTTTCAGTGAAATAGGGTGGAACCTAATGAAATGCAATAGTAAAATGCACATATTAGAATATTAAGTATATTTAATTTAGTAATCCTAATTTCATTTAAAATCAGTATTGGTAGTTTAATTATATTTTAAAAATCACGTAAACTGTTTTCTAAACTATATTTGTTTCCTAAAAGTACAGACAAATGCTGTGCAAGAACTCCTTAACTCTGAAATGAAAGCTGTCAGAGAAGACAAATTATCTTGAAATCACAAAATAACTTTTCTTATCTTATCAGACACCACCACACAGAGACTGTTTGAATTTTATGCCACTGCACTGCTGACAGTTTCCACAACTGTAGATCTTATGAGTGACAAGTGCAGAGTCAGGCCAAAATTACAAAGGTAGCTGAGACAGACCTTGATGCCTGGTAGCATTTAAAGAAATAAATGGGTTTGGTGTCTGACTCGCAGTGAGTTGATTTGTCATTTAAAGCAGGGGAGGAGGAAGGGACATGTTAGAAGTTAGCAATCCGCTAATCCTTCTGTGGTGACAGAATGGAGTTGAACAAACCATCATGAAAATGTTTCAGGTGAAATACAGGATTTTGTGTGGCAGAATGTCCTGGGCAACAAGAAGAGAAAGGATGGGATTTCTTTGTTGAATTGGGAAAGTATCAGGTCCCAGTGAAAATGAAGTTTTTGCCAGTTTTTCTGCTTTTATTTCAGAAACATTTCCTATGCAGCCTCCATCTCACATAGGTGCTAACCTTGGTGCGAAGACAATGTAAAGATGTACCTTAAAAGAATTAATTAGGTTCATCCCCGCACCACAGCTATTTATGATTTGATCAACTTCTGCATGCACAAATGGTCACATATAGTGACATGCTAAAAGAAGGTGACCCTACCCAAAGTAATTTAAAATAAATCATGGGTAGTATGGACTTAGAGAGCACAGCAGATTAATTCCCTGGTTTCATAGTTGATATATATGCAGCTCATTCATGTATTATTTGAGGTTAAATTGAAGTCATTAAGTCAGATCCATACCTATTTGTTTCTGTTCTGAATTTGGCCCAAATATTTAAATTCTAAAAAATTAAATATTGTGATAGCAAATATTTCAGGAAGCTTAACCTTTTAAGTGCAGATAAAAAACTACAAGAAGAAGAAATCACTCTGAACAGTGCCAGACCCTTGATTCACTCAACAGCTGAAATGAAAAGTAATGGCAATGAAAACATCTGGGACAATAACCAGAAAAGGAAAAAATAATTCCTATTTCCTTTTCTTAATTTGGTCAAGATTGGAGTAAATTTGGAAAATGAAAGTGTTGTAGTGCCTGAGGACAGTGTATAGCAGGATGGCTTTGCACATAGCAAGCACATAGCATAATATGCAGAGAACTAACCAGAAGGGCTATTTATTTAAACTGAAATAGAGAAAATTAACCTATCCATTAATCATTGCAAGCACCGTGACTGTACAGGCTAAGTACCATGCTAAATGACTGTTTCCCTGCCTAAAAGTGCAACCACCATAATTTTAGCCCTGGTGGGATGCTGGAAGAGTGCATACTTCTTGCTTTCTTCTTGGAAAAGAGCTCTTCTAATCTGCATTGGTTGCACTTTCCTACTTGGTAAATAACAGTGGCTCCAAAGGCTTTACAGCAGATGTACTTGAAAGGTATTCAGAGAGAGCTTGAAATTGCAGTTTACTTTAGAACAGAAAAAACTGCCTTCCTTCCTGCCCTTAAACAAGCAGGAGCTTTTTCTACATTTCTGTTCCTCCATCCTCAAAGGTGGGAGACTGACCCTTGTCCCTCCAGACCCTGCTCAGTCACTGTCATGGGGAGCTGGTGACTGCTGCTCCCCAAAAGACTCAGGATCACAAGAGTGCAAAGGAAAAAAACACTGAGCTATTGATGTTATTGTCCTGCTTATGTGTTCTAATGGCTTAGAAAGCAGAACTGGAAGCACATGTTTATTTTTGTCTATCTGTTGTGAAAGGCAGAAGCAGCCATAAGGAGTGATAGGAACTGTGATACACTTGATGAAAAGGTGTATCAGAAATGGGGACTCTAACTTCATTTTTTGATAAGTGAACTATGTAACTCTCCAAGTAAAGGCATTTTTGGGGGTGTGGGAGGATTGAGAAGTGAAGACTGAGAACTTATACCTTTCTCAAAATACTCTATAAATCTCATTCTTTCTCATTTATAAAGAGAGAACTAGAACTGAATAAAGCAGGATAACTTTGGGGAGTGAAAAATCCCTACAAATTTTGGATTAACTTTCTATGGTAACTTTATTCTTCTACTCCTAAAATCACTATGAGTTTCACAGGGCATTGAAATCCCTCTATATTTTTAATACCCATATTATAATTAAATATTTTAACTTAGTATTTTCTCGTAAAAGAAAGACAGGATCAGCTAAAAATTACCCTCAAGGTTTTAACTGCCTCCGTTCCTCCCTTCAGCTGTTCCAGTCTGCTCTGCATCTTCCTTGGCAAAAGGCTTATTGCCGTTTTCCTCACAGCCTGCCTGTGACACAGCAAATGTTCCGCCAAGAACAAATAACCGTGCACAGTGGTGGCTGCACAGGGCCAGTGTGGTACAGAAACATTTCTGTTACAGCCTAAGATTTGTCATGCCAGCGTAAACCTTTGTGTGGAGAACTTTATCTATGCTTAGTGTGAGCGTGTAAAGCAGACATAAGTAAATTAACCGGCACAAGACAAATGTCAGTGAAGTTAGTTTAAGAAATTTAAGCTGATCCAAAATGAAACATGCTCCCTTTGGACTTGCCTGCTGTAGGATATTTGTGTAGCAGATTTGCATCTTAATTTTAAAACCAAACTTAAATGTTACTTCCTATTTGGTTTTTCCTTTTGCCACCGACTTTGGCAGGCGGCAGAGAAACCCCCAGCAGCCGTGACAGTGCCTTGCCCAGGCAGCTGAAGAGTTTGCCTGCACCAGGGGGTTTTGCCAGTGCCCTGCCACTGAACTGCCTCTAGCTCTCTCTTGTACTCTGGGTGTTTTATCTGCCAGGAAACAGGGAACCTGGTCACTCTCAGTGTGGTACACAATGACAATAACAAAAGATACAAATCAGATGAGCTTCATTTGAGTTGCAAGGAAAGAGTTATGTTTTGCTATAGAAGTTTATTCATATTGGAGCATTCTTGAAGATTACTCTGCTATAAGGGGGTTTACTTTATTTATGGATTTATACCAGGAGGCTAGAAATGAAGACTGGAACTGTGGCTTTGCTCCAAGGCCTCGCTATGAGTACTTGACTGCAATAGAGTAGAAGGGAAACAGAACACCTTTGAAAACTCATAAGAGAAGTATGTAGAAGAAGAAATTTTCTATAAGCTTATACCTGTTAAATAACTCAGATGACTCCTTCTCTCTGGTCAATCATCTCAGCTGCTCTGAGCAGCAAATTTGGGAACTACAATGACATTAAAAACTCCTCCCTCTTGCCAACCCACCTGCCCAAGCCTTACATCCTCATCTGCTTCTCATAAACTCCTATTCTGACAGGTACTCAGGATCACGCCTGCATGTCAGCTGCCCGTGCACAGCATCTGACACCACAACACATCAGAGATGGTCCATGGAGCAGTTAACTTACTGCTGTGGATACACAGGAGGTTCTTTTCTGCACAAGGCAGCAAGTTCCAGCACCCATGTTTGCTCACTATATCCTGTATGTTTCTGCTAGAATAAAGTTCCTCTTCATTCCAGGCAGTGGTATGAAAGGCCTCATGGTCAATAAAATCCTTCACAACCTGTGGCATGACCACCACCGTTACAAGGTGCCTAAGGGACTGACCTGTCATAGTTTCAGTTAAAAAGGAAAAAAACATACTCTTCATGTAATGATGTGATAAAAGATCCCCCTTTGATGTACGGGGTTTGATGAATTAAGGGTTTTCTTCTCCGAGTTATGCAGTTTAATGAATGTTTTCCTATGTAGCAATAGCAGCAGTGTTAGTTTAAGTGCTGTTAGCTGCCTTTACAGGCTCAGAAGTAGGAGAATGGCATAAAACTTGATGCACTACACCACAGATTTTCTCCTCTCCCAGCATGCTAACTACTGAATTATTAAAGACATGATGGGATTTATTGTTCACATTCCATTATGAAATGCAATGTGCTGAAATAGGGCTGACCTTGAGGTCCCTTTGCCAGTTCCAGATCCGGTTTCTTCTGGTTGTCCTCTGCCAGATAAGTTAATAAGTTGTCAGTGGTGCCTCAGAAGGCAGGTCTGGTCCTTTCTTTCAGAAAAGGTGTGTGTTTATGACAGGAGTCTTCTGACTCAGTAGAAAAGCAGTAGATGAGAGGGGCTCAAAGCCTCCAGAAGCCTTGGCTGGGCACAGGAGACTCTGGGCAATGGGAACAGGAGCACTCTCTGTGCTGGCTGGAATTTCCTTTTACAGGAGTTGCAGCTGGCACTCTGGGCCTCCCAAAGATGACTGCAATGTACTCCTTTTTCCAGACTAAATAATCATGCTAATGTAAGCAGCTCTCTCAGAGGCTTGAATATTTTTAACAAGATTCTCTTGATTTAAATCAAATAGATCTCTTACCTCTGGCTCTTCCAGAAGCACAAAAAGGCTTGTGGGACTTTCAGGAAAGCAGTAAGAGAAGAGACTTCTATCTCTCTCTCACTCCCCTGTCTTCATTCACAAATGTCTTTACCATTTTCTCTGGGTTTGGATGAACACAGCAAGGTCATGAGTTTACAAAAATCCTCACCTGCTATATGAAGGAGACTATCCCATAGAATTGGGATAGTCTCCTTTCAAGTTTTGAATCAAGTCTCAAGCATTTTTTAGAGGCCAGTTCTTTACCAACAAGCTTCACAAGCTGTATATAACATTTTTCAGAGTCTATCAAGATTTCCTTGCAAAAAAATTGGCAAACACAGGAGCCTTTTGAGCAAATTCGGATCTACTAATACACTATGCAATAAACTATGTTAGTGGACATTAGGATTTAGTTTTGTACCTGAATTACATAATTTCAGGATCTTTCTCAAGCTGATAAAGACTCAGAGGTGCCTCTTCAAAGCTTTTTCTTTTAGGAGCCTCTGTGGATACAGCTCGTTTGTTTCAGCAGAGGGACCTTTCTGACTGAACCTGTGCATTGTGTGAAGAGAGACACAGAGCAGTTACATATTCCAGATTCTTCAGGTGAGCTGTGAAACCCTGGCCACTGTGGGCACTAATTAAGCAAACCGCCTCTCACTAGCAAAGTATTTTAAAAGTTTTCAAAGTCTGGCAACTGCTGGAGTGCTCGGCATCCTAAGGGATATTGATATGAACTGCTAGGTTGGGTAAAGATGTATGTAACCACCTTGGTAGCTGATGACCAAAGTATTGCACAGAAATAATCATAAGACTGAAGCTTTTATTCTCAAATGTTAAAAGCATAAAATGGGTTCTTACCATCTCAAATTCCTCAAGCATTGTCAAGCACTGATTTTTTTTTTTTTCACACTTCTACTGATTATGTGGTTATGTATCTGCTGCACTGCAGTAAAAGGTAAAGCAATTATCATATAGTGTTTATCCTTCTGTTTTGGAGTACTATGAAACCAAATTGAAGGGTAATCTAAATGCATGAAAGACTACTGACATACAAAATCTTGTTATTACTTTCAGGACAGAAGAAGGACAAAAGGCAGAGTAGCACATAATTTGCTAAACACTCTGGCTTCTATGAAATCTCAAAATCTTATTTTTATATCTAGTATTTCTGACAAGCCATTCCTTAAATCCATTTTATTTAGCAGTTTTGCTTTCATCCCTGTATCTTTGCCTCTGTAGTTTCTGAAAGAGGCCAGTCTGCACCAACTATGGAAATTTCGTCTTATCCCTTATCCTCAGAACCAAAAAAAATGATAGAGCCCTTTGGATTCCCTATCCCGAACAGATGTTAAACAGCATTTCCATGTATTTTGAGTGATGTTAGTGCTGATACTTGGTTTCAGAAGATGAATGCTCACCCAAACACAAGATTCAATTAACATTCTTTTATGACTGCATCCATATTATTCTTAACGAGCAGACTCCTTGGTGAGACTGAATATTTACCTCATGGCATTAAATCCACAGTTTTCTACCACAGTCATTAATGGTCATATAGCAAATGATCATCCCAACACCCTGGCTACATTCCAGTTCAAGTAATTATATTCTGCCTCTCTTAATTTCCTTTAGAGAGTAATTGGACCCGATAACAGTCTTCACTTGTTATCCTTAACTGCTCTGCAGCCTGACCACATCTCAAAGCTTCAAGGACTTAATCATAGCTCCCAATAGGTGAAATACTGATAGATGATCACTCTGCTCACCCCATCTTTTTATCACTTACAAATCCATTAATTATTGTAACACCTTCTAACAAATTCAGCTCTACAGGTACTGTAGACTACGATTTGTATATTGCTGACTGCCTGAAGACATAAGTCAGGAGCTTAAATGATCTCAGAAACTTATGAACTCATTGATTTTAGGAAGCTGATGATATAAAACTGCTGTACCTTTTATGTGCCTCTGACTTTGCCTACATTAGTGAGCCATTAGGCACAGTAAGAGCAGAGCAGTAGGACAGTGCAGCTGGCTGTGAGGGCTCACAGTCACATTTAGAGTGCATGTGATTTGGCATTTTACTTCAGACTGCATTTAGTTTGATTTACTGGACTAGACATCCCAAATCCATGTGGTTTAAGTGTAGGCTGTGGATCTCTTTTCTCTCTAAAGGGATTGAAGCACCATTGCCGTGTACCTCAAGTAGTACTTCTGGTTTAGTTTCCTTCACAAGAAATATGACTCGTATGCACCAAAGCAGCAAATGAAACCAGAACAGGATAAATGGGGATGATGGAGAGATTTGCTGCAGAGCTGCTCTGCTCTCCTAAATGCCAACATGGCTGGGGATCCACTGGAATGGATTGTCATCTATTCAAGCACTGTTAAAGGACAACAAAGAGACTTTGACATGGGACAGTCCTCTGACCAACCATGGGACCAGACAATAATAAGGAAGCGTGTAACTGACTCATAATGTGCAAAAGGAAGTTTTTGGAGAGGAGAGAGGAAGAGACAAGCATACTTCAGTAGCCTGGTGGGGGGTGGTCTTCAGGAAAAAACGCTGGAGCCCTAAGGAAACTGTTCCAGATGGTGAAGAATCAGAGAGACACAACATGTAGGGTTCATCAGATACGTGCTGGTTTATTTTTGAGTGATTCCAAAGAGACCAAGCAAAGAAGCAGCGCCTTTGCCCATTTATACTGCAAAGAAGTTAGAACATGGAAGAGATCTCAATATGGTATGAACTGCCACAGCTGTGACGGCGGATGGGGGCTTCAGAGTCACTCTGTGGGGTGACTCAGCATCCCAAAATACTGGATCATGGTAATATGAAGAATCTTTAACATCAGGAGAAAGCAATGAGAAAAGGTTTTGCATTTCTGATTTAGCTGAATTTCAGATCCAGATATATTTGTAAGTTATTTTAGCTTAAAATATTTCTGAAAATGTTAAATTTTAGAAAACCTCTACGAGAAAGGAAATTAAAAGCAAGAGAGGATGTTAACACTTTTTTTCCCCTCTTTGTGGGGAAAAATCCCAGAAAAATCATCTACAGCTTCTTTTCCTACTCACAAAATGAAATATGTCTATGCAGAGAGATTGATCCAGTCTGGTTTTTTTAGTTGAAATGTACCCAGTGGTTCTCTGTATGCCCCATATATCCCAGCAATTTATTACATGATGTGAAGGTCAGACTCTCAGAAAATAAATACCTCAGAGCCAGCAGTAACCAGAAGCTGAGGTGTCCTAAAATGAGTATTAATCTGGAGGGAAAAGGGTGACTAGCTGGAGACTTAAGAGCTGTGTTTCAGAGACGTGTGTGGTTCCTGGAGAAGCTCACACTCAAATACTTGTGAAACACACCATTTAGCACTCACTGCTGTCCAGTCACATTCTTTCAGTTCACTGTTAATATTTACTCACCTTTTTCTGCCTTCTGATCTTTGCCATAGCTTTATAATTTTCAGTTTGCTTCACCAAAATTAAGAGCAAACAGTGTGCAACCAAGTTAGACATGGTCAGGGAAATGACGAAGAACATGGTGTCCGAGGCCAGGCCTTATCCTGAGGAGCCAGGCAAGATTTTAATTATTTCAATTGCCTTCTCTATATCCCTGTGGTGCCCCCCACTGAAGATCACAAGAACGAGGCAAGGCCTTTCTCTGTGACCATGTTACCAGATAGGAAACATCTCCCCTGCCTGGGGATGTGGGACTGGAAGGGGACAGCCAAAGTGACTCCCTCAATGGTGTGGGGGATATTTAATGACAGGAGGCTCCTCAGCATGATGACTCCACATCCTCTGCTATTGAAATGCTTCCTCATGCTCCCCAGATTAATAAGAACTATAGTTTAAAAAACCAAAACAAGGCCAGGGATTTATGATTTATCACAGACAGACAAGAAGGGTATCAGAGTACTGTGAATACCCTGTGTCACTGCAGCAACAAAGGACTTACTGAATTAAACTTCCCAGCCATTACAGACAGCAACTGTTTTCTGTTCCATGTTACAGAAAAACCTAAGGAAAATCCAGCAATAAATGGAACAGAAATTTCTTAGTACTACTGAGAATGTGAGTAGGACACATGACCAGATAACTTAAGGAGTGTAATGCCAGCCACACCTTGGACCACGCAACTTCTCCTCTGATCCAAATACATCTGCTGCCAGAGAAGAGCAAGGGCAAGCTGTCCTGTGTGGTGTGAAATAACCTGGCCCTTGCCTCAAGAAAGGGAAGGGGAAATAGGGCAGCTATACAATGCAATGGTGCTCTGCCTGTCTCCTGTCCTGCAGTGCAAAGTCTGTTGCCATTACTCCATCAAAATTAGAAAACAAAAGTCTGTGTGCCAGTAGCATTAAAAATATGCTTCTCTCACAAATTATAGGTTGCAGATTACCATGTGAAGTGGCTGCAGTAGTTAATAAGAGTCTTTAGCTCTGTCAAAGACACCTATGCTGAAGCAACTGTAGCTGCCCTCTAAGAGCTGTTATTATTATTATCCTCCAAGAGCTGTTGAAGTCCTGTCTGTATTTACAGGCTTTCAGTAACAAAACTGTGCCCTGTGGATGGGGGCCAGCTCCTGTTCAGGGCACATAACCCTCTACAATGTGCTGGGGGTTGTGACTGGTCCTCTCTTGTCACCCTTCTGGGCTCGGGCCAAGCTGTTGCCAAATTGCCACATTTCTCCCAAAACATACTAGTTTTTAAGTCCCATGCTGATTATTTTAATGACCATGGGTCCTTCTGGAAACCCTGTGGGGGGTAGAGAACATCACAGATGTGACAGGAGCCCAGCAGACTAAAAGCAGTCCTGGGGGACCCGCTTACTCATGGACAGATGCATATGCTAACAACAGACATCCCATCATCCTTACTGCCATTACCAGTTGTAACCATGAGCATCCAAGGTAAACCCCAGCAGTATTCAGCTGCAATTCCCAGTCAATGGGAATTGTCCTGATCAAACTAAGAGTGCAGCTCATTGAGTATTTGAAACTCCACTTAAAAGTAAATATTGACACGGTTTAAAGGGATTAACTAAGATGACTGGATTCTTGTTAAAAAGTTTTTGCGAGTAAAAAGAGCCTTTTACTAAGCCTTCACAGTATTTTGAGATGTCATTTCCTGTGATAAAATGGAAAAAAAGGGGAAAACTTGCTTTAAAAGTATATTAAAATCTCATGTTCCTAAACACTTACCTTTAAATGACCAACTCTTAAAATAATAGCTCTCATAAAACTACACAACAGGTAGCTCTGTGTGTGACTTATTAAAGGACGGTGGATGATGCCACACTGGCAGCAAAGAGGTAAATAGATTAAATTTCCCAGACCCGTATTCTTTACTGTATGTAAGCAATATGAAGTGGTCAGTCCTGAATTTTGTCTATTTTTATTGCTCCTAAGTGCAGGACATTTTGCTTCTCTTCATCAGTCACCCTGTGTATACGATGAGAATAATACCTGTAACATCAGCTACAGAAGAGATTTCCAGATGGATGGAGGGAGGGAGGAAGGAAGTGAGGACTAGGACTTTGCCACACGTGCCCGCTCTCCAGCAGGAAGGCTGGGTGGTCACCCCGGAGCCCATGACTAAGCCTAAGCCAGGGAGGGAGGCTTTCCTCCTGCTCTGTGCTGAGCAGCCCCCATCCCCATGGCGGCTCTGCGCCTGACCCCGTGCTTATCTCCGATGGAACTCGAGCCTGCAGTTCCCCCAGAGCCCCTATCAGCGTCTCCCAGGCGATGTGAGCCACAGCAGGAGAGAAAGTGTCCCCTGCACTGCCTCTCCTCAGCAGCAGCTGGGGCCATGCCCGCCCAGCCAGCTCCAGATGCACACGCAATAAACCACAGCAATAAACCACAGCAATAAACCACAGCATGGGCTGCTGGCTGGGGCTGGGCAAGGAGCCTGGCCTGTTAAAGAGAGGAAGTAGAGATAGTAGATAGATACCAATATTACAAAATTGTTTGAAATCAAAACAAACCTCAAAAAGATCTCCCCCTTTTCTTTCAGCAAAAATCATAGAATTAAATATTTGACTTAGTAAATTCTCTCTTCTAGAAAAGCAAATTTAAAAATGTCACAGTGATGAACAATGTGTAAAAAAAGCCATCATATTATTCTTGAATGAGGTTTAATAAAAATCAAATAAAAGCAATTATCTGAATTTTCAAGAGGATCACTTCTTCCTTCCCTGAGGTACAAAAGAGAATGAATTCAGGAAATCATTAGAATCAGAAACTGGCGCTGCACAACAGAGCCACTGTTTGCTGTACAAAGACAAACAGAATTCTCCTCCCAGGCTGACAGGCTCCTTGCTAAAGCTGTTGGAGTGGAAATTCCACCTATAGGTGAAGAAGGGTAATTAGAGGCACAAGAATTTCTTTGTAGTAGGGCTGGCTTTTCTACTCCAGCGCAAGCTTCAGCTTTTCAAGTATTCATATTCTCTACTCATACAGAAAGAAGTGGGACATATCACAATGTTCAGAGCTGCCCACAGATCCCTCTAAGCAGGTACATGTGAATTAACACCCACTAGCACACCCCACATAGCACTTGCCTGCTCTCTCTTTCTCCTGGGTAAATCCCGACTGCCCAGTTTATCCTTTCCTTCTGCCCCTCAGTCATCTCACCTGATGGAGAGAGTACCACATACACTTCTCATTTGGAAAGGGAAATCCAAATATTTTGTGAGAATGTGGTGATTTCAATGACATTTTCAAAGGCAGAGAGCGGAAACGCATTATTTCAATACTCTAATTTATTCTGGTAAGAGGAAAACATTTCATGCTGACTCATTCCAATTTCTTTGGATTCCAATGTTATGGTATACTAAGTGTTGCAATATTGATATTACTGTTGAATATTTTGATGACAAGCATGGTTTTTTAAATATGCATGAGAAATCTTCAATGTGCCAACTGTTTTCTATTCACACTTTGAATGAAAACAAATCCTGAAGTAGAAATCTTACCATCAAACTAAGATGTACAGAACTAGATTAGACATACACCACTTGGCAGCCAGACTCAAAGGAGCTCCACTGACTTCAGAGGAGCAGCTTTATCTTCAAGCATTGTTCCAGGAGGGCAGAAGTCTGTCACAAGCAGAATCGTTAAAGACCATTTAAAAGGGGCAGCTCTTCCCCTGCTTGACTGATATTCATAAATGCTCTGATTTCTGCCGAAGGAGGACAGCTGAAGTTACATTTTCACTGTGAATGTCTCATGGCTTTGCTGTACTCTTAGATAATTTAGGATTTGACTCTGTCTTGCAGGAATGGGTCCTTACATATCTCATAAACTATTACCATTTTTCCTATGAGCCTGCATCTTGCCCTGAGTCAAAGTCTTCATCACTGATTTTTGGCAGCCAAACAATTAAAGTGGACACCAATTTAAAATGTACCAAGAAAAAAAAAAAAAAAACCCACAAAAAACCACAAAAACCACAAAAAAAAAACCAACAAAAAAACAAAAAAAAAACCAAAAAAAAAAAAACAGAAACATAAAATTGAGGGAGAGAGACAGGGAGCAAAGACCCCCTGATTCTAATCTTGAAACAAATTGTATGTAAATGGCCCTCAGAGAAGGCATTGGGCTGCATGAGTTTCCCTGTTGAGCATTTTGTACAACTTGGGTCTTAACTTCATGTCACAAAAGCAGAATAAAACCACTGAAATGGAGAGAAGTTTGATTCTACTCCCATCAATGCCCAGTGGGATTCATTGTTCATCTTCCTTGAAAAGAAAGCAACAGCTTTCTTGCTACATATGTTTTAAAATACTTGAAATTTAAGGACTGTTGGGCCAGATTGCCAGGTTTTTCCACATACATTTTCCCCAGAGAAATTGCTACCTTCTTCAGTAGTCTCAACACCAAAAAGGACTGAGAAGCACAGGGTTTTCAAATTAAAACATGAAAAATAATCTCACTACAGATGTCTAAATATTTCATGAATTACATGAATTCAGCTCTGGCAAGATGTGTCTTCCACATTGCTATAAAACAGCAAAAAGATTGTTCATATATTTTAAGAGATCAGTCACTTCTCTCTACCCTTTCCTCTAGTTCAATTTAAAACAAGAGAGGATGGATGTTTCATATCAGTCTAAGGGATTGTCTTTATCACTTTTTTACTTTTTCCCATCTCCATCATTTGTGACAGAGATGGATAGTTGCTCTGCTTTGTCTCTTTCCTGCTCTGTAGGGCCAGACAAAGTCTCCCTTTAGTCCCCAAGGACTGATTTTAAAATATCACACAAAGAAGCAACACTGAAAGAGGATGGGCTGCATTAGCAAGGGTTGCCCATAACTGGGATTTCTCAGCTGTGGAAATAATTAAGCAGTACAGGTAGCATGAGAATTCATGCTGCTTTCTTCTCACTAAGATTTCCTTTAGTAAAGGTGCCTTGTGATATCGAGACTTTGATGGGGGTACCTTGTATCCCACTGATCTCGTCTTCAAGTCCTATTAAGTAGAATGTAAGGTTGGAGGAGTCACTGGTAACCTCCACTCTGCCCATCACATGAAATAATGGAGTGTGAATCAAAATAACTTTGCTTCCTTGTTTCCATCCACAAGTTTGATTCAGTATTTAAACAAAACCCATAGTAGCAGCCATACAATGTATGCTATAGGGGCTTCCAAGTTTTGGGAATATTTCAGATTTTTAAAATTGTAGTAAGAAGTCATCTTGAATCCACTCTACAGCTTGGGACTATTTTGATAGGGTATAACTGCTGCATGCCAGTTGCCAAAAGAAAATAAAAAATACAGAAAAGAAGCATTCACAAAAAGAATTTCATCAAAAGTCAGGAAACCATTAATTTAGGTCAAACTTGCTGCATGAGCCACTGTTTAAAACAAAACACTCACAGAAAATATAGAATCATTAACAGGAAATCAAATGGCTGCTGTTTCAGAGTGTATACTGGAAAAATGTGCATGTATAGAGATTAAATGAAATAAAACCCCACAGCTAAAGAAATTATTACTTAAATGATTACTTTTCTGTTTTCAAATTTTCAAGGGGAAGGGAAATGGAACAAGTGTAATTTTGCTTGGAACAACAGTGCTATTATTCTTCCTTAAAAGAACAAGCACAGCAAACAAACTACTCCTAGGACGCTTCTCTTTTTTGCCATATATTGTGATACAGCAACTAGAAAATAAGTGCCCAGTTTTGGCTCACACCAGGGATGAATTTCTGGGGCTGTGCCTGCCCTGCAAGGGGAAAGCTCCACAGCTGTTTGTACGAGGTTAGTAAGAATGACATACTTAGGTGGTTTAAGTTCCACTGGAATGACAATGACTCAACACAGCCATTTAAAATATGCAGGCACTGTTGCTGACTTGTTGGAACAAGGCGCTTGACAATGCAGTTTCCCTTTCAGGAACAGGTTCAGGTGCAGGTTCTGGTCAAGCATCTGCCACTGTTTTTTGAGTAAATCCTGATGCCTGGATTCGTGAGAGTATCTTCTGTTGCTGGGTGCTTGGGTTGCAAAAAGGGCAGCTTCGCTGTGGGCAGGTTTAAAACAGACATATTTTTATATATACAAAATGTTTCTATATTCCAACAGTCCCTGCTAATAACCTGCTGGGTCAGCATTTCTCAGGTGAGGATCTCAGAGCAACCAGTTCATTTCACAACCACCACCTGTGAGGCTCATTGATATGCATATCTTTGTATTTAGTACATCTACTTGTATTTAACAATATTTATTCATATTTTTCAGACAGGCCAAAAGAATCGCACAGATGTTTAATTTCCAGATAAACTGTTTGCTAACTACAGACATTTTCATGTCCAAGCTATCAATTTGAGATATTGTGAACATGATTTTCAGACAAGAAGAGTGCAAGTTTTCTCGCTAAGAAATATGGATGTTGGTTGTACCATCAAACTGCTTTTGGCAATCTGATTAACCAAAACTGTTTTCATAAATTAGGCATTGACCAGAGAGATGCTTCAGAAAAAAAAAAGTGCTTACACTGGAGCAGTAAAGAGTGAGTAGGACTAGCACTAAAACATGTACATTGCCTCCTTCTATTGGTTTTCTAAGTGACTGTGGTCATGTCACTTTTTGAATTGTTTTCATCTTTTGATGCTACAGTTTTCCCACCTATAAAATGGAGATGCTGGTACTGACCTTGCTGGTAAAAAGATCTTTGAAATATAATGGAAAAGCAACACTGACATTTAGGCAATACAAAGAGAAGAGCTCTGCGTATGCACCAGGCCTGGCATCACCAGTGCTGCAGCTCACAGCTGGAGTATGAGATATCAAAAGGATATATGTAGAAAATATTAGCAGATATCATAAATGCCTTCAATTCACTAGGTCTTAAAAAAATCCCTCGAGCCCAGGCAAATTAATTTTTCTCCTTGTGAAATGTAAATCTTCCCCACACAGAGGCATGAGGTTTTTCCTGTCTATGCAAATATATTTGGGCAGCACTGGGTCCAGGGGACCTTACTGGATGGCAGGCTTACTCAGCTGGAGTAGTTCTTTTGCTGGAAGCAAGTGTTTACCATACAAGTTACCACTAGACATAAACATCCGAAAGACCTTTGGTCCTGCGTTAGCACAAGTTAAAGCTTTAACCTAACCTGGCAATGCTGCTGTACAACAAAGACAAGCTGAAATAAATTCCCTACAGACACACAGAAAATGTGCTCCAGCTGTATCCTACCTCGTCTGCTTTCCATTCATGCCCTCAAACCCCATATTCCATGGTTTTAGACATCCATCATCCATTATCTGAAGAACAGATGAATTTACTGAAAAATTAAAGCAAATTAATACAGCAGATCAGCATTTTAGCAATGCTTCTCTTTTTTCACAAATACTGCAATTGTATGAAATCTTCCGCTCATGAAAGAGTCTCACTTAATTACAAAATATTACTGAAAATTGAAAATTTTAAAATGACACCTTACCATCTTTAATCCCCATCAAGCACAAGTATAGGAATTTTTGTTAACCTGTGGGAAAAAAGCCTTGAAGATATGACTGTTGTTAAAAACAAAGCTGAAATTACTCTGTCCTCAACAGCTTTTCTTGTTGGATTGAACCCCACCAATTAAAAGCTGTGTTTAAAATATTTTTATTATATTTGATACATTGTTATCACATAACCTACATTTTTTTCTTTAATTTTAGCTTTAAAAGTGTAAGAGTATCAGGATCAAATGTATTTTTGGTAATTTTTTCTGTTATGTTAAGTAAGTGCAGAAACATGTATTAATCCACTTCTCAAAAACAGGACTGGGGCATTTGCAGGGAGAAGGGGTTTTTTGAATTAGGTTGCTTTTTGTTTGCTGGTTTTTGGGTTTTTTGGGTTTTTTTGTTTGCTTTTTTTAAAGCAGAAAACAATTGGCAGATTGGACATTCAAAAATAAGCTTTTAAAAAAATAACAGCATTCCTGACAACTCCTCCAGCTCAGGAAGTATTAAAGAGAGAGCTCATTATTGCCCCAGCTGTGGCTGAGGAGCCAATTTGAAACAGCTGTCCTAAAAGCCCTCCTGAAATTAACAGCTGGGTACACCCCAGGGAACCTTGAAGGAAGGTTTGGAGTACAGCTTTACAAGTGTCTCAAGGCTGTGGTTTGGGATCTTCTGTTACCCCAGGGGCCTGTCCTCAGTCCTCCAGATAAGAAGTGCAGCTTGCATTATGCTGGGCACAGTAATGGGAGGAGATGTGGACAGAGAGCTTTTTGACCCATCTGTATGGGGTTAGATTTAAATAAGTAGCAATGTGTGGGTTTGAGTCTGATAAATCTTCTCATGGTTTTGCTGTAAATCGTGAGGAAGCTCTCTTTTGTGCCTTGGCTTAAGCTCTCAAGTTTTAGTGGCTTAAAACTCCTGTGCTGATTCTCTGTTGAGGTGTCCACAAGTGAGGGTGGGCAGCTGTGAGGCTGCTGCTGTGCTGTGGAACCAACAGGCACACTCACAATCAAATGGGGGGTGATG